ATAACTGCAGTAATTTAAAGGTAGGTGTTTTAACCTAAAGTTATTACTTAGCCAAAGACTTGAGCCGTGGTCCCTGATAGATAACCTATGGTGAAGAAGAATAGAGAGGCACTCTTCATGTCAATGTCTTTATGAATAGCAAAACCAATATCTGTTTTTAGGGATTTGGTGATTGCTGGATTAGTTTTTTGAATGGAATCCTATATAGGTAGAGACAGTAAAGATTAGGTAGATCATGCAGGAGTGTAGTAGCAGTGAGCTTTATAATAACTTCTAAAGAAGAACATACATTTGTAAAATAGCAGTGTCAATCATCATTTCAGGAAAACCTTTTTCATTCAGAATGTGGGAGAAGTTAACCTGCCAGATACAGGGTTTTGGGTAAAGTAAGTCAACTCGTTTATGGATCAAAACTTGGACAAAACAGATTCAAAACACATCAGACCAGAACATTACTGTCACCTTAAGAAAAACAAAGCGTTTAAACTCAGATAGTTATTCTGAGTATCTTTCGAAGGATTTCCAGAGCTTAAACGGTAGTAAATGGACGAGTTTAGGATCAGAGCCCCGATTACGGTAACTTTTAACGTCAACAATCCAGACACGCTTCTCGATTCTGCGATACGATTGGTCGTTCAACAGCGTACATCAGTTGTTTTGACCAATCGTATCGCAGAATCGAGAAGCGTGTCTGGATTGTTGACGTTAAAAGTTACCGTAATCGGGGCTCAGGCATGTTGTCGGACCAGTCGATGTGTCACTCGCGCGTTTTAAAGGTCAATAACCGGAATAGGCACGTACTTTCAGCAGCCGTGCTATTTAGAGCCAATTATTAATATTGCTCTTCTAGTGAAGTGACGTTCGTTTATTAATAACTGACTCAAATCCTGTTGATATACCGAATGCCTTGCCGGTGAGGAAGCGTAATATTAGGTAAATATTACGCTTCCTCACCGGCAATTATCAAGGTTAAGTAAGTAGGTAAACTACCAAATCGATAGTCTATCTAGTCTAGCGTCTAGCGATTGTAGGGTGACATTAGAAAAAAATACCTTAGTAGAATTAAATAGGTATAATTAATTATTCCTTTTGTAAAATTTTCATTTAAATTAACAATTTTAACAGCATTGTTGTGTTGTGTTTCGGAAGTTAAGAAGGTTAAATATTATTTATTACCTTAAATATTTCCTTTAAGGTGAGGATTATTATGAAGCGAACCTAATAGTATGTAGTTTTACCTTTAGGTAAAGTTTGCTTCTACAATTTTGACCATCAATACACTTTCTATTTATGAGGTGATATGAAGTGCTGCGTTTTTTGTTGTGGTTATGTATTTTGTTATTTTTATAGTGATAAAATGTTACTAACGATCGTTACTACAAAGTAGAGGTGTTGGGTACTCCATTAATTGGGCAATTGGCATAGATACAGCACTTTTACTTGAAGGGGCAATAAAGAGTTACAATTGAAGTAAAAGTTTATCGTTTTTAGGACATGCACAGTCATAAGGTACATACAGTAACACGAGAAGCAAATACAAAGATGAAAGAAGTTATTCCAAACTCTTTTCAAAGCAAATTAGGACGCAATTTAGGAATGATTACGATGTAAGTGTGTTAAATATAAATATAAACAGTCAATTCAAGTAGTCAAGTGTATTTAACCGTTATAATAATCCAAAAGTAAACCGGAGCCAAGTCCTACGGTAGGTAAAACGGTATATGAGCAATAACGCTGTTTGTAATGATAATACTAAAAGTAAATGACCTACCTAACTGTTGTTCGGATAAACAACATCCTCGCTTCCTTCTGTATTCCGTTATTTACGAGTATGTAAACATTTATTACATAACATTACATATGGTTAGGAAAGGGAAAGTTTTACAAAGTAGGTAGGAAATACATAGTTTTGATTATCTATTTTACGTTTCCGCACATAGCGATAGCACATCAAAGGCAAGCGTTACTAAAGTAGATAATAAGTATTTATTTGTTATTAGATATTTTATGAAATATACTAGAATAGGGCTGTGTTGCACCACCTAACTTTAACCGTAATTATAACGATAACCAGTGCTTTTTGTATGGAGTTTGACGTTTGCTATAGGTAAAGTAAGATGGTGCAACCCTGGGTAAGTGTTTCAGAATAGTGAAGATTTTGGAACCCCGTGTTTGATGGCGGGACGGGCGATAGACTCTATGAATTAACAAAAGGACAATGACCAAAAGTGGTCCAAATGTCCACCACTAATGAGACCTATATTGGCTTATAGTCCATTAAATAGAGATTAACTTTCAGTATGGGACGAAAAAAAAGAAGCTGTCAGTAAAAAGTTATGACTGTAGGAATAATTGTAGTAGTTTACGCGCTAATCTCAGGAACTACTGGTCCGATTTGAAAAAATATTTTGTTATGGATAGCCCATTTATCAAGGATGGTTTTAGGTTATATAACATCACCCTACAACCAATAGGGACGGAGCAGCGACCACCCTATCATAATTCCAATATTGTTGTCTTTCTTCTGAGTTTATTTTTTTTCTTTTAGTGAGAATCTAACACGGCACACTAAGCGACATGACATAACATGCATAGATTAATCCAAAATGTGCGATGGGTAGAATGATATCACGAACATTTTTCAGATGAAAAGGTAAAAAACATGATTTTTCATTCAGTCATAACTTTTTACTGACAGCATATTTTTGATTCCGGTTTGGTTATAATGAATCAGTATTTAGTAGACTATTTTACTACATAAGTCTCGTTAGTGGTGGACATTTGGACCACACTCCATACATTTTTGGTCATTGTCCTTTACTCGGGTAAAGCTACGGACAGAAGTTAGCTTTGAAAACATGTTTCTGAAAAGAGTTTAGTCCCATTGACATTAATGTTAAAAGAACGTTTTGAGATTCATAAATTCCGCTTGTGTTAACAAGCAATAACTCGAACGTTACGAACACAATAATTCTCTAAATTACGATGTTTAATAATAATAATAATAAATATCCTTGGACATTTTACACTGCGCTTCTAGTCCTAAACTAAGCAAAGCTTGTACTATGGGTACTAGACAACGGATATAAACATACATGTTTATTCTATCAAAAGATACATCTATCTAGACAGAAACAGCACTAAATCTCAATAAATATTATAATAAATAACTTTCGTTTTTACTATAACAGCAAAAGTGGACACTCCTAGTAGGATAATAAATCAAGGACAACCAGGACATCAGACTGCCTTGTTGCATGTTATTAAATCATGTTTTAATCTATATATATAAAAGAAAGTCGTGTTAGTTACTTCGCTTATAACTCAAGAACGGCTGAACCGATTTAGCTGAAAATTGTCTGGGAGGTAGTTTAGAGCCAGGAGAAGGACATAGGATACTTTTTATCCCGTTCGTAATTAAAAAAAGTCTGCTTATTTATTGCCATTAAGGCGGACCAAAGTTCGCCGGGTCAGCTAGTATAACAATAAATTATACCAGCCAGACAATAGTTTAATAATATCAAAGATACAATCTCATATCTCTAGGAAGCTGACATCATCCTTTATAATAATATTCTTCATTCTTGTCTTTCATTATTTTTATAATTTTATAACCAGCTAGTTATAAAGACAGGAAAATATGATTAATTTTTAGATTAATGTAGGTACATCTGTTATTTTTTTTAACAAGGTGTTCTGATAAACTAACAGTTCAAGAATGTCCAGTAAACTTCTTTAGTGTGGTCAATGCATCATCTTCATCATCGTCATATAGTCTCATCTGCAGAAGCACAACTCTCAGAGGCAGAGACAGGATTTGGACTACACTTCTTACAAGGGCAGACAGGATGGGGACAGACTGAAGTGCGAATATTTGTCCCTTAGGCTAAGAACTCACGGCGCGATTTTCACCCGCGCCCGCGGCGGTTGTGGAATTGAGGTTTTATTTGAAAACTCACGGGAGCGGTTATTTGCGCGGTTATTCTAAGAACTCACGGCACGATTTTAAATCGCACTTGACTTATGGTCCTATGTCCCCTAGATGGGGCAGAGGGCGTCCACAACAGTCCTCCATCGCGTTCGGTCTTGAGCTATGTGTTTGATCTCGCTCCAAGTCTTGCCGATCTTCTTCGCCTCGTCTGCCACATTGCGCCGCCAAGTTTGCTTGGGGCGACCACGTTTGCGTTTTCCTTGGGGGTTCCAATCCAGAGCCTGCTTGGGGATGTGATCGGGATCCCTTCGGATAGTGTGGCCAATCCAGTTCCACTTGCGGCGCTTGATCTGCTGGTCTGCTGCAATAGCTCGACGTTGGAGATTTTCTCAGGCCAGTAAATGCCGAGAATTCGGCGAAGGCAGCGGTTGACGAAGACCTGCAGCTGGTGCGAGATGACCTTGGTGACCTTCCACGTTTCACACCCATAGAGCAGCACGGATTTAACGTTGGACCCGAAAATTTTGATCTTGACCCTTCGGGTCAGTTTCCGTGACTGCCATACGGGGTTTAAATCGCACGCTAAGGGCTATATTTCACCGGGACACCATGGCGGCGCAACCAGTCGCCGCTACCAACAAAATGTATGCAGCTTTGCGCAACCAAACGGACACCAGGTGAGTAACTTTCTATAGATCTGTATACATTTTGTTGGTAGCCGGCGACTGGTTGCGCCGCCATGCTGTCCCGGTGAAATATAGCCCTTAGTCACTGGTATAAAATGGTCGCCCGCCGGTCGGGCGATTTTCGCGCGGGCGAAAACCGCCTAGCGGGACCCGCATACAACCGCGCCCGCTGCGGGCCAAAACCGCGTCGTGAGTTGTGCATTAGTTTTTACATAAGTATCTACATTCTACAGAAGTTGCGGGCCGGGCGCGGGTGATAATCGCGCCATGAGTTCTTAGCCTTAGTTGCCATTAAACATGTCCACGGGAAGAGTGAGTAGTCAATGCATACTTCCCCAAATATTAATCCTGTACTACAACAGATATTTTAAATGGATACTCACCATCATATCCTATAGGCTCATTCTCTTGGAGCTTGAACGTGAACGGTATGTGCACCCTTTGCATCATCAGACGTGGCGGCTGCATCGCTCTGCGCCACGCATCCTCGCGACCCTCGCCTACTATGCCTATCACTTCCATGTTCCTGTGAAAGAAGAATCAAAATCAAAATTTTCTTTATTTGTTTAGACTAATTAAATTAGTACATACTTGCAAACCGTCAAATGCTCTTAAGGAGCCTATACATGTCTCATTCTTTTTTTGCCCTACCAGGGCGGAAGGAAGAGCATTCATTCACCTACCAGCGGTTCTCAAACTTATTTAGTCTACTGCCCACTTTGAGAATAAATTATTTTTTAGCGCCCCCCATTTTTGTAGTCAATAGTCGAGCTCAGTCGGTGTCTAAGAGTCTTCCTAGTAGATGACGCCTCCCAAGCCTCTACACAACGCCTCGATTTTTTTTCTGGGTCTCTTACCTACCCTTTAAGCCTGCAGCGCCCACAAGGGGGCGTTACCGCCCACTTTGAAAAAGACTGACCTAGGCTCAGGTCACCCAAAGGGCGATTGAGCGTATGCTCGGAGTTTCCCTGCGAGATTGAATCAGAAATGAGGAGATCCGCAGGAGAACCAAAGTGAACGACATAGCTCGCAGAATTGTTAAAATCAAGTGGCATTGGGCGGGGCACATAGTTCGTAGAGACGATTGCCGTTGGGGCAGGAAAGTTCTCGAGTGGCGACCACGGGCTGGAAGACGTAGCATTGTGGTAGTGTGGGCAGGCCTCCTACTAGGTGGACCGACGATCTGGTAAAGGTCGCGGGAATAACCTGGATGCGGGCAGCGCAGGACCGTTTATTATGGAAAACTTCGGGGGAGGCCTTTGTCCAGCAGCGGACATCATTTGGCTGAAACGACGACAAACAACGATTCACCAAGATTAAGGTAATACATAGATTTTACAATAAATAGGTATACTGCAGCTATGATATCAAACGTGGTCGACCCAGGCAAACTTGGCGGCGCACTGTAGCGGACGAGGCGAAGAAGATCGGCAAGACCTGGAGCGAGATCAAGCGAGAAGCTCAAGACCGAACGAGATGGAGGACTGTTGTGGACGCCCTCTGCCCCATCTAGGGGATATAGGACCATAAGTCAAGTCAAAGTAAGTCAAGCTATGATATCTCTCTAGTGCAGCTAGAGTGTGATATAAAAATGAAAATTATGATTTATCAGTCAAAATGTGCAATTTTGTTGGTCATTGATTGCACCAAAATTCTAAAATATTCATTGTTAGTAAGAAATACAAATTACAACACAGATATAAACAATAAGTAGGTATTAAATCAATTTAAATACCTATGATAAAGTTTATGCCAAATAAACAAAACATTGTATAGCACATACAGTCAGTACATATCAAGTGCAATAACAACACAATGAGGTAAATTATTGTTGTTTCTAAATCAGACCTTTACCACTAAGACACCATAGTGTTTAGCTTGTTAAACTATTGTCCAACATAAACAAAACAATACTGTTTACAAATTGACAAAATACCTAGTTGCATGCAAATGATGCCTCACTAAGAACACTGTGGTCACAACCTTTTCCTTATTAAATTTAATGACATAGAAGATTGATTATATTATTGCATAAGTAATTAACTACAAGTTTATTATTATAATTTGACAGCATAATATTGTCTTGTAATTTGATAATAATTTACTCAATCATTAATATGTATAATAATTAATCTTTACTCAGTGATTACACTGATGTGAAGTCATACTTGTATGCTGATAAAATTTATTTATTTTCGATGAGTAACATATTATAAGCTTACAGAAAAAACAAAGCTTAAAGGCAAAATATTTTGACAGAATTTTGGACAAAATTAAATATGGGATAAAAATTTAAATATTTTAACTAACACCAACTTGCGATAGCTGCAAATTATTTACATAAAAGTTAATAAAAATGCATTTAAATCAAAAAGATACAATATGGATTAACATTTTTGCTTATAATGATGATTTAATAAGACAGTTTTAATACCATAAATGGCTTGAATATATATATTATATAAAACACACCTATTGACCAAAATGTCATAGTCTATGACTAAAAGGTCATAAGTAACAACATGTATCAAGCAAGAACTATTCAGTAAAGACCTATTTACAGCAAATAAATAATTAATAATTATTATCAAAGATAAAAAATTTCAAAATCATAATAAAAGATTTGAAAGATTGATTAGAATGTCGAGGCCCTTGACGACCCTGACCGATATTTTTGTTGTGAAAGATGCGAGGTATGTCTAAATTATCTTGTAGACCTTGGTAATGAATTTGAAGTTAATTTAGTCAGAGAGTAACTGGTTTCTAAATTTAAACGGATATTTACTAATAAGAAACTTTAACTATAGATAACTATACTTAAAGTAGATGACAGACGGAGTAGATTTTGCCTATGCAGGGTTAACAGGGTGCCACAAATAATGATAGCTAATTTAATGAGATTATTAACTATTCTACACCTACAAGGTGGACCGACGACATCGTAAAGGTAGCAGGGAAGCGCTGGACGCAGGCCGCTACCAATCGATCAACATGGAAAGCATTGGGGAGGCCTATGTTCAGCAGTGGACGTCCTATGGCTGAAATGATGATGATGATAAACTATTGTGCCTAAAACTATGTACCTACCTATTGCGGAAAATAAAGCTATTTTATTCATAGTTTGAGCAGATGGAAATGGATACCAATATTAAGAACTATTTATTAGTCCAAACAAATAAAGAAATTTTGACTTTGACTTTGACTTTAAGATCAGATTTCAATTAGAGAAAATGTAGTAGATAGGTTACTGATAAATTTTAGTGCAGTAATTGTTACTTTTACAATGTTTAATTATGTTCTATTATGGAAAACATAGACACTGATAAACCAGGAAATAAATACAACTTCCCAGATGAATTGATCTTTTCTGGTAAACATTAATTGTGCATTTTTTAAACTCTGTTGCCTCTATTCAAATCAGTTGGAATTATTTTAAAATATCCTGATATAAGATGAAGCTTGTAAAAAAAAGTATAGGAATCGGCAATTACCTGAGGAGTATGACTAGCATCGCGAACAGGGCAACAAGCGCCCCAATCATAATAAATATGTTTGGCAGGTCTGCCAGAGTCAGCCCCGTCGACCCCATTTCACAGCACACACTATCACAAAACAACAACTGATAACACACCGAAAACACTAGATGCGACTGTCCTACGCATCAGTGCACGCAGAATTTTTAAAATTTTCGATTCAAGGTGCCACGACCTTGCCAAATGATCTAATTCGCACAGTCAAAGAAAGTACAATTTCACACGACATTTACCGGTTGCATTGCGCAATAATAGAACCGAACACACGACCACACCTATGAGTTATAGTTCGTCCACGTAGGATAAAGTCGATGTTTTGATTTCATAATAAAAACAACAAATCATTGATCGAAAAGGGCAAACAAAACGAGCACTTCGCCAAAGAGCGTTTGACAGAATGAAAATGACAGGAGGAAAGGAAACTCGTCCGTCAGTCAGAAAAAAATGAATGGCTGGACGTTCCGTTCCACACAATGAAATACCGCGTGATCACTATTTAAAAAAATTATGTTAATGCGCTTTGTTTTTAACACATTTATACAATTTTCTTACGACCTTCATAACGTTTACATAGGATTTTCTTCTATCGATTCAACATTTTCTATAATATTATTTAAAAATAAATATCACTTCTTGATTTTTTCTATAGCACATTTTTTCATACCCGTAGAATTTAATTTGATCACAATTTGTAAATTCACCGTTGAATTATTTCAGATACTAACTCTTGTTTTTTTCTTAGAAAAATTACATTTAAATTATTATTTTTATTAAAACTTCATTAGTAATTTTGCATTATAAATTAAGTATAACGAAACGCTGTAGCACAGATTACACACGAACATTTGATTTACGCGGGAAATTCAAAATAGTTGGGATTATGCCAGACGACATAGAAAAAAAGAGGTTTGTACAAAAAAGCCTGATAAAAACATAACCCTTTTTCTGGCGCAGTCAGCCAAAAAGTAAATGCGAGTGAGTTGATGAGTTTTGGGAGGCAGTTGCAATATTCAGCTGAAATATTATTTGAGTATCTTAGAAATATGTCGGCCGTTTGGTGTAGTGGTTCAGAACGGACTACTATGCCGAGAGGTCCCGGGTTCGATTCCCGGCCGGGCAGAAATTGAAATGATAAATTTTAATTTCTGTGACGGGTCTGGGTGTGACTATGTATAATATGTATGTATTTAAAAAAAAATAAAAATATATATAAGTAGTATATCCGTTTTAAGCTAGCACCCATAACACAAGCATTAAGTTGCTTACTTTGGGGCTAGCTGGCGCTGTGTGAAATTGTCCAAAGATTTATTTATTATTATTTATTTATTATTTATATGGCATTTACTGGTTTTAAATATCGGATGATTTTTATTCACCTACCTATCCTGTCCTTTAATATAAGTAATAAGCTAAAATAACAAACCGGAAGACATCCAACTTTACCATTTGGTAATATATCAATGTCTAAAAAACTTTGCTTGATTGACTATAAAATTATACAGTAGTCCAACTACCAGTTCGGGTAATGGTAATGACCAAGCAGTTCCATTTACCCCTGTCTTTTTTTAGACTTCACTAGTTTTTAGTTACACCTTTGACAGTGTGTCCTCGGGTGTTTTACAGGGAGGAGTAGTGAGCCTTGTTTTGTTTGTGCTTTGGAATTTACGTAAAGTGGTGTTAGGTGATCTTTTACTTCTTTTAACCCGCTAGGCTAGCTAAAATTCTAAGCTCGAACCAGTTTAGTAGATTTGTAAAAATAAAAGCAACTTTGCGGTAAAAAGTCAAAGTAAGTACCATGCTGAGTATTTCAGAATTATTCCGTTATGAAACTGAAAATATTCGTTACATAATTTTATTTTAACAAGAGCGAACATATTTAACGTTCTTTTTCTTGAAACGCAAATGACTATGGAAAACGCTATAGGCTAAGGGACAGGTAAGTTTTGATCAAACGATTTTTCTTGTAAAGTGTGTTTAATAGATAGTGATTAAAACATAATACATTGACAGTAAACAAGAAATTAAAGTAGTTTTATTTAATTGAATACTACAAGAAGAGACACATTGCTATGATTAGGTGTTATTATTATTAACGAAGTGAGAGTTAACATTAGATAATTTACATCAAAGAAAATTGTTTTCAATTTGGATGATGTTTAAGTACATACATGTGCATAATTTAGTTACGCCATGCACTTCGAAACAAATAGAAAACAGGGCTTTTAGAAAGTGATTCGTACGTGCTCTAGACTACATTTTTCCACCACCACCGCGGTTGTCATGTACACAGGCCAACACAAACTGTAAACAAAACTGCGATCGATATTATACGAGTTCAACTAAAAGCTTCGCAGCCCTCAGCCAGTGAGCAAGTCTACGAAACCTAGACTCTTCGGTAAATAAATAGAGCTCGAAAAAAAGAAAATTGTCTTTTTGACGTGAATTTTGGCGGGAAATGCGCGCAGTTGTTTCGTTCGGAAACGCGAATGTATAGTGCGGATTCTGTGTCGCGGGGTTGCTCTGGTTCTACACTGTTCAACAATCTGGCATCCTGTATGGAGAAATGGTTCGGTGATAAACGGCTGTGGTTATTTGGCAACAACCTGCCGCTGCTACCGAGAAGGTAAAGATAAAGAATCACTATGCACTATAAATCACGAACATTTAACTTAACACGTCATAATTATCTCTCTTAGGTAAGTAGGTACCTTTCATACCTGTAGTGTTAATGTGTGTTCAATCGGAACATGAAGTATTTTAAAACAGGTAAAGTGCATATCGACATAAATAAGGTAATTAGGTATATTTAAAAAAACAAATGTTGACAAATTGAAACAGAACAAGTGCGAGTCGGGCTCGCGCACAAAGGGTTCCGTAGCAGCAAATATAATAAACTTATTATGTCAATTTAATCAACCTATCTCAAAAACTATAAGAGATACTTTGATCAAACCAAAAATCGTTGAAAGAGTTAATTAGCATGCATCACCTCTATTTTTTTTAGAATTTTATACCCCGTAGTTATAAAAATAGAGGGGGGGGGACATACTTTTTACGACTTTGAGAGCTGATATCTCAAAAACCGTTCACTTTAAGAAAAATGTTTTTTAGAAAACTTTATATCATTTTAAAAGACCTTTCCATTGATACCCCACACGGGTATGTACATCGAAAAAAAATTTTCATCCCTCAGTTACATGTATGGGGGGCCCCACCCCCAATTCTTTTTTTTACTATTTAGTGTCATAATTTTGTAGCGGTTCATACAACACATATTCCCATCAAATTTCATCACTGTAGTACTTATAGTTTCCGAGTAAATCGGCTGTGACAGACGGACAGACGGACAGACGGACATGACGAAACTATAAGGGTTCCGTTTTTGCCATTTTGGCTACGGAACCCTAAAAATACCTAAATTAGATAATCACGTCTGTTTGCTGTTTAAAAATGGTTTTTATCCGCTGTGATGCATGTTTAATCTTTATCACATATTTTGGCAACAAAATTATTACGAATGTAGGTAGGCTTACTTGGTTTAATTAATGTATATTGACAAAATTGCGCACGATGGTTTCTTGGTACAGCAGTGAGAGTCAGTTATTATACCTTATGTACCTATTATGGGATAAAAGAAATGCCCTGTTGAAAAAGCTGTTCGACTTTAGCTTTTCAAGTCAGTCAATATACCTTATGTACCTACTATGGGATAAAAGTTTGTGTAAAAGTCCCGAGTAGGTAAAACGGTTGACTTAATATTATAAAGGGAACTAACTACAAGTTATTTCAATTCTACTTTTTACTTTTTAACACTTTCACGGTAGCTATTAGTGTCTTTTTAAGCGTACAGTCGACATAAGATTTTGCAAAAATGTAAGTAAGTAGGTAGGTAAGTACAATAAAATGCCGCAGTGATTATTCATCACGTGTCATCGTTACCATAATTACAGCAGGTAGTGTTCATTCATTTTCCATGTCACTACAACAACAAAGGTTGGTTCCCACCAGAAATAACAGCTGTGTACCAGCGAGCTGTGTCATTGTGTGGCATCACCTTGAAAAGTTCACGGCGTAGGTACGAGTATATGCGTGCATCGCTTCGTTGGAGCGCAGCGTGTTTTCTTTTCTGTGACGAAGGCACTGGGTGTAATTCCGGGTTTTGGAATCAGCTACTTAGCCGAGGCGCAGCCATCGATTTTCGTCGGCCGATAGTTTAATCGGGCAGTTGATCAGTATAGGCATGTATGGAAGTGCGCACATTACACCGATTGGATTTTCATACAAATTAAAATCGGGCTATCGGCCGACTAACTAAGTAATTTGAAGATGAAAATGTGTGAAAAGATCTTTCTTTATTTTTCTATATTGAAGAGAATACAAAAAAATGGTATTGTATTTCTGCATCACAATCTCCTTATACCTACTCATAACGATATTTGAGCATATCATTTGCCTTGGACTAACTAATTTATAGCAAGAAAAATAATATTATGTAGATACATAAAATAGGTACATGAATTAACCTAATTTAATTGCTAAGCATGCAAAACCCCAGTAAGGCTTTGAGTTAACTTCTTAAAAAATTAAGCTTAAGATTCCTCACGAATTTTTTACATTGTTAATTTAACTATTTGCAATCTTTCGAGTTCCGACGCATTGCCGTGTTTTACACGCCAACAGCGACATGCAAAGGAATCTCAATCGTAAATCAAAACATGTAAACACGTGAAAATACCTACTGGGCTATAAAAAGCATCGATAATATCGATTTATGAAACACTAGCTTTCCGCCCGCGGCTTCGCACGCGTGTAATTTCGTTTGTAACAGATCGTCATAAATTATAGCCTATATGTTATTCTGGATTATGAACAATAATACTCTTTAATTGGCTTAGATTTAATGCTCATCAAACTAACATGAATATTGTAAAACAGCTGTTGAGTTTCTGAATAAATAAATAAATAAAGTTTTATCAAAATCCGTTCAGTGGTTTTTGAGCCTATTCATTACAAACATACAAACATACAAAAATAGGTACAAATCTTTCCTCTTTATAATATTAGTATAGATACTACGTCACGATATGTGAAAAGGGTAGTCTTTAATATTTATTCGAAATCATGTTGAATATATAGAAAAAATTATTCAATACCTTGTCAGGACTACGGAACCCTAAAAATGGGTTAAAATAGTGCGCCACATATTTTAAAGTTCGTAGCGCCGTAGCTAAGGTCGTAGTCTTCGTAGCTAAATAGAGGAAGATTTCATGAAGCGACTACAAAAATACATTTCATGATTGTTCTACATTTTTACCCGACTGCGCCAGAAGGAGGGTTATGTTTTTAATTACAAGTTTTAAGTTAGCGTAGTTTTAGACTACG